CTTATCATCTCTTTGCATGTATGTGTGCACATGCATATCTTTTTTTAAATTACGTGTAACTTTTCATTATATTACACACATACAATCTTTAACTAAATATGTGCGAACTTGTTGTCATTACAGAAATACTATACTTTACAACTTGATATTTTTTAGTTATAAAGTTGAAAAAAAAGGAGGATTTTTGTCTCTTTTTTTTCTCCTCTTCTTTACTGCGTATAGTTTTCTCATATATGTTCCATGTGAACTCAATATGATATTGAATTCAGCAACATTTTTTGCACAAATGTGTTCTTTCTTTAATGTTTTTAAAAAACTACAAAAATATTGGGACGTTCCGTATTTCAGCATACTCAGAATGCATAATGTCTAATTTTCTGAGCACACACACGCTAAATCAGGAAAAACTACTATATAAACCGAAAAAGTAAAAAGCTTGACTGGAATTTGAATTTTTCGAATACTGAGTTATTTTTCGAGTTTCGAGTAGTTTTGAATGTTTTCGACTTTTTGATAAGAAGAAAATTTTTTGAAACCTCAAGAAATATATTTTCTTAACCAGCTTGAGGAATTCGATCGAATGGTGTATAGTAAGCTGGGAAACAAAATTTGCTATACTTGCATTACGAGCACCTTACGAGATCCAGAAGACTTTCTTTTGGTATTGAATATCTAAACATTGTTTACAAAATGCTGTACTAGTTTTGTTCTCCGCTGTCGCCGAAAGCGTTTATTATTATTCTAAAAACGGGGCTCCTCGTGTCATCGACCACCAGTAATATTAACAGCTGTAGCCAAAATTGTTATCTCGTCTTATTTGTGGATACCGTAGAGATTAATGAAAATAGGACCAAAATAGTTAATTACTTTCAAATCAACACTCATAATCAGAAACAAAGAACCATTTTTTTAATATTGTATAATCGAAATTAAAAAAATATATCAGATTATTTTGGTGAACATAAGCAATGGATATAAGAAAACGATGTCTCGAAATCACTTTACGTCTCTTGACTTTCATTGTCGTTAATGAGAATTACTTTCTACTTTCAACTCGTCTGGTATTGAATAGCTCAAAACCTAAAAATAAAAATACTACCCTGTCATGATATATTACAAAGAAGATTATTAAGCGAAGTACATAATTGCACATTCAATTGCCTCAAAATACAAAATGTTCAGGTTTGTCATTGACTGCTACTTTCGATTTTTGAATGAAAACTTTGATACGACATCTGACGTAATGACATATACAGAAATCTTCCTTCAAGGCTAGTAAAAGTGTAGTAAATGATGATTTTACAACAAATACTCAGTATCTGTTACTAACTGCTTACCGGTATGATATTAGTTCATGCGTCAAGCCATGGTTGTGTGCACGATAGTCAACAAACGATGTTGCAACTCTATCAAGACAGTGATTTATATCGTTTAAAATTTTGTTTGATTTATCTGCAGCTAGTTTTAAATCATTATCAAATTGTTCTCGTTCTTTAATAAAATTTTTTCCACCTTCCCTCATTTTAAATTTATCGTTTAATGTATCTTCAATACTGGATATATAATTTGCAATAATTGCATTCATTGTTTTATAATGGACGTCAAATGTTTGTTGTACATCTTTATTAACAAAACTTCCGATTTCCTTTTCTAGTGCCGTAAAATTTTGTCGTAACATATCACGAGATTTTTGTTTTATGTGTAGTATTGATACTTCTGCTACTTTTAATTCAATTTTTTTCTCAACTAACCATAATAAATACCATGGTCGAAAAAGTATTTCTTGTTTCTTTTCGTCAATGCTTTGATAGAAACTAGAATAATCCACCTTTTTATCATTAATTGCTGGTAAGTGAACAGGCATTTTGTATGTTGCCGATAAACGTGTGCCAATACGTCTACTTATGATGTCTGTTTCTTTATCTATACGTTCTTCCACAACTTTGCATGTATTATCTAATTCTTTTTTAATGTCTTCACAGGTTTTAAATGATATTTGTTCACTTATTTTTTGTATATTATCAAATATTTGATTTGTAAAATTTTGGGCCTCGTAGCGACTAGAAAATGTTATCGTTTGATCACGTAAATTTAATTTTTTTAGCATACTTGTCCAAGTAGATGGCCATACTATTGACGAATTAGAATCATTATTTGTGTTAATATTACTTCCAACCTGCATACTAAACATCTTATCTACTTCAGCTATTCCAGCTTTAGTTGCATATTGAAAAGCATGTGATAAACGATAAAGAAGGGATGATATAAAGTCATCTAACATACGTATTTGTGCTTTTTGACATTTATCTATTTCAGCTTTTTCATTATTTAATTTATCTAGTTCACGATGTAAGTCATTTGTTTCAATATTCAAACCACGTTGCCGAAATAAAATTTTTTCATAATATTCTTGTGTATATGATCTACATTCTTTCAATGCACGACATAAACAATCAGGTGCAACAACTTTCATTGTTTCTGTTATTATATTTTTTAAGAAAGCAGTAAAACCTGAACCTTGCCATACTTCATCGGCTTCTTCAAGTAAATCATTAACAGACATTTTTTTCAAGTGCTTTTCTAATAGAGCTCCCCCATGTTTAATGAATTGTCGATATGTTTTTGTCTCCTCAATTAATGTTTCATGCGTAATATTACTAGCATCTTTCTCTGTTGTTACTTTCGATAAAGCATTTTCTTTGATCATCTGATACTCGGTAAGAAATGAACGAGCTAATAATGCATTTTTTGATGATGTTTCATATACTTTGTGTTCATCAATGTTAAATTTAGTTGAAATCCATTTCTTTGTATCAGAAGCTGACATATCTTTATCTTCATCGCGCTGATCTACTTTATTGATTAATGCATATAAGTTATTATTATTTTTATTTTTTTCTTGAGTACCGTATAGTTTACTCTTACGTATCGCATTTACTTCATTTGTTATTTCATGTTCAGCTTTCGAATTCAAATTTGAAAAGTCAAATACTATCATAACTAATGCCGCTTTCTTTAATTCTTTTGATATAACTTCTTTTAAATGAGCTGATAAATGTTGTTCATTTGGCCCTGGTGTATCAACGATAACTAAACTACCTTCATATGAAAACGGATTTGTTCCTGATAATGTATCGCTATTAAGTAAAACTGGTACTTCAATACGAGGTACACAATCGAGATTAATTGGAGTATCAATACTAAGCATACTTGATATACGAATAAGATCATTAATAAATGTTAATAATTCTGTTATTTTCTCTTTTTTTGTTGTTGTAGTTTCAAATGTTGGCGTATCATCGTTGACTATTTTCTCAAATGTTCTATACAAATGATCTTGATTATCTAACTCTTTTTTCAACCCTTTGTCACCAGAATCGGACTTTGTTTTTAGTTTAATGTTTTCACACAATTGTTGAAGACCACGTACAAGATCTGATTCTAATATTAAATGTGGCTCTGATACATTTTGTTTAAAAACAATTTCTGTGGGAACTGCTGTCATTGCTGTATTTCTGGATGGCAATAGGTCACTACCAATAATAGCATTCAATGTAGTCGATTTACCCGCTTTCATCGTACCCACAATAGACATGCGTAATTCTAAACTTCTAACATTTGTCATTGCAGTTTCAAGTGAATAAACATGTACTTTTACGGGGATTTCATGATCTTTTGGATGAATATTTTGGTCTTGACATTTTGGTGTATATCGATTTAAAACTCCGTCCGTAGCTATCAAGTTTGCTGAACATTCATTTAACAATGTTAATGTGTCATTTTGTAAATTTTGAACAAGAGTTGAAACCATGTTGTTATTTTTGTTACGCTCACGTAAGATAGTAGCAGTATATACCAGAAGAAAGAACACATTTTTCTAAGGGTCTCGTTTGCAATATTTACCAGTTCTTATCTATATATCATTTTGGTGGAGCAAGGCCATTTAATATTGTGGCATGTGCTTTTATATACCTGCATAATTTGCAGTGTTCGTTTAACAAAGAGACGAGGAGAATAGGATATGATTTTGATATTTTAAAACGCGACTTGTTTATACTAAATACATTTTGTTTTATGAACGCTTTTTTCGTTACAAAAACACAAGGAATTCGTTTTTTCTCTTGTTTAGGGGGAGGGCAACCATCCCCAAACCTGTCCTCAAACTATGCCATTTTGTAGAGTGCGCTGAGAACTATCTTTGATGAAAGTATGTATTTCTTAACGTTGGACTGTGGTCAAAATTTTTGGTCTAGCGGCTGATTTTCGATATTTCATGAGTCATTCAGAAATAATGACAAAAATTTGATTCAAGTATGTTTAGATGCACAATTGTTCATAGTTATTATGTGTATGAAAAAGAAAGAAAAAGTTTCTAACAGACGTTTTTTGTGCAAAGTCTAATAAATCTACGGAAAAATATCCAAAACTACCCTATGGCGATCAACCTTTGGCTGGCCAATTACGCTACTTTCCCTTTTATTAGTCACTTCTGAACCATAGACCATATACGATATTTTCAAAAGTGACCAAAGCTGTTTTAACCGCTGATTCTTCTCGAGAATCGCAGATTTTTTTTCTTTTGCATTCCTGTACTAGTTGGGTTGAAAACAAATGCTGTATAAAAGAGTATAGCACAAAAATCTCAACAGTATTTTGTAGCAATTTTACACTTCATTTATTCCTTTCTGATTTCTGTGACTCTTTCTTCTTGTTGTATTACTACAATATAAAATGATGCATTATTTTCTTCATCTGATGTTTATTTACTTAGAAGTAAAGTACTTTATTTTCGAAATATCAAAAGTAAAAGTATTTCCACAACATGCTGGTGGAATAATGAGTAAATTACAAAATAGAAACAATAATAATAATAATAATAGAGTTTTAGCCAACACGAAAATTTATTTAATTGATAAAAATAGTTTGTCAATCGAACAAATTCAAATTATTGATAAATATATCGTTAACATTAATGATTTATTTTATATTGTTCAAAATCCTCTACCGTGTCGGTTATCTTACGATCAACGAAATACATGCAATATTTGTGAAAAAAAATTCAGTATAATTTATCGAAAATCTCATCGTTGTAAAATGTGTGGAATCATTCAATGTAGTGATTGTCAGTCATGGGAAAAAATTCCACATCTTGGTTATACGTTTCCCGTAAATGGAATAGAAGGTTTTTAGTTGAGCGCAAACAATGTTGTAGTAAAGCAATACAGATTCTGAAGTATACGCTTCAGGCTATCTTTCCATGTGCGTATCTCAAAACCGATTTTTTCACCGAAAATCACCATTTCTGAGGGGGCGGGAGGGGGGTCGTTAACGAAAACAATTCAATTGTCCGTAGCAAAAAACTTCCTTCTTGCTCTTTCTGTCTCTGTTGTTTTTCCGCTTTTCGTTCCTCTTTCTCTCGACTGTAAAAACACGGTTTTTTCATTTCTTTTGCTTTGCATATTACGAAAAATACTACTCCATTACCTTGCAGTACATTTCAACGTATTGTAGTGACAGTATTAATCTCTACGCTCTCCGGAAACAACTTAAGCATTTTTTCATTATCTTTTCCTTTCTTCTGTTGAATTTTTTTCAAGGATAGAACAATACTTTTACTGCGTACTTTTTTTCCTCTCTCTTCTTTTGAGATTTTTCGAAGCATGAGTCAATATTTTCTTCGAGTGCTATCTTTCGAGTATTGACTTATGCTTGGAAAAAACCCAAAGGAAATAATGCACAGAAAAGGAAAAAAAACGTAAAACATTCATAAGTTTCTGAAGGAAGCTCGTGGAATGCTGGGAGCGGTCTCGTTTGCAGCCCAGACTTTGCTCTACAGTGCGATATGCTCAACTCAGAATCAAACATTTTTTCAAAAAAGACGGGATGGAGTGCCCTTAAGCGGACATTGACCATTTTCTTTCCTTCTCCAACCAAGAATGTGTTAAACTAAAGTGATTTAGACTGATGAGATATAAGTTTAGATAAACTCATATCTCATCACCAAAGAACTCTGTATATCTCAACTGCAATGGATTTTCTCGTGAATTCTGTCCACGACAAGTATAGAGTACTGGTCCTAACAGCTGAGAAAAATATGGATTATTGACTAAATTTTTGCGAAGCCAAGTATACAAATTTCACAGATAATACAGTAATTTAGGCTGTCTCAAAAAAGAGAATATTGAACCATCTTAGTCAAGTGATGGGACAGAATATATAATATATGTTGAAATTGAAACTATACTTTGGCTATATTCTACTTTAGTTTTTGATCAAACTGATTTGATTATTTGAGAGGTATGATTTGATGTTAACATATTAGTCAAACATTCTTAGTTAGCTTTTGTTATCGACCAAAATGTATATACAAAAGAATAATATTAAACAAATAATAGTTTATTCATGAAAAAAAAAGAAATGAATGGAGTGAAGCTAAGAAAGGTTATAGCAGATCAATGTTTTGGATGAATTGAAAACAACGCTCTACTGTCACTCTACTAAGATGGCTCAATATTCTGTTTTTTCAGACAGCCTAAATTACTATATTATCTGTGATATGTGTATTCAGTTCCTTTTCGTTATTGTTATAGATAGAAAAATTGAATGATATGCTATTTGATCGTCTTCTTCAAATTCGTTCGGTTATGTTCGGGGCACTGCGAACAATTTTTTTGTCTTAGAGAAATAGTAAGAAACAGATATAAAAGTCTAGACGAATAGAAAGAATATGTTTATATTACATGATTGAAAGACATCAAGTTGTTATCAAAAAGCCGTCACTACTTTTTTAGGACACTGTAAAGTGAAAGAATAGATCAAACTCTCAAACAGTACTATATTATTATACTACAGAAAATATGATAATTGATATATCGTTATTTAACAGAAAACAACATCATCAAATAACTGTACACGGTAATAATAACCGTACTATGCAATTAATCGGACGGGAGAGTCAGGAGATGGTTTTGATTTCTAACAAATCTTTCACTGACGGTATTGATGCCATAAAAGCTCATCAAAAAGCACTATTAAGTAGTCTACATCGAAGGTGGATGATCATCGCAGTAGTAATGTTATTTGGTATTCTGGTCATTGCTGGAAATATTTTCAGAGCATGGAAATCAAGTACGTTGACTAATTTCTACTTTAATTCTTCTGACCAATTTTCCTTAAATGTAGTCATTATCTAAGATTAAGAACATTTGTTACCTAAGTTTATAAGAGATAAAGAAAGTTTTAGTTATTCTTGGTTTCTTTTAGGAGTATCAATTTTTTGATCACCAAAAATAGATACTTTTGATTAGGTATGGGGCGAATCGAGCGGGTGCTCACCACGAGCACGCTCGTCGCCGAGCGAGACTGACAAATCGCGTTCGGTGTCCGAGCGCTCGCATGTCATTCCTAATTTAAATAAAATTGTCTATAGTTTTACACAAAAAATGTTTAAACAATTGTTTACTTGCTGTTCGCTTATTATATAAACAAAAAATATAGTTTCTTCTATCGAAAGAGTAAAATGAATGTTGTACTAGGTTTGGAGCGAAATCTACACAAGAAAGCAAATTTTTTGCGAGCTGCGCTGCATTCCCTACAAACTTTTCTCTTTAGATTAACGACAGTAGGACTGTCGTAGTTCAAAGTATCAAATGAATTATTAGTCAAATCTTATTAAAACCCTCAATTTGATAAAGCACTAAGACCTAATTCAAAAATCGATGCCGGTCAGTCGATGTAGTTTCTTTTCCTCTTTTAAACAAAAAAAAGAATGAACTCTCTACGACAAACCCCTATTAAAAATCTTGGGACGCACTTCAGGTGTAACTGTTATATGGTGAAAACGCTTTATTAAACGCGTTTTAGTTTTAGATTATCACAGGGTATCCACGGATGCCACAAGATTTTGTTTCGTTTTTGTGATATCCTGCTCTTTAGTAATTGAATCTTAATCTTAATCTTCAAAAGTGATCTAATATCAAGGGGGAAAAAGCATACTTCTGTACTTCTGGTACTTCTCCGTACTTCTTGATACTTCTTCGTACTTTTTTGTACTTCTCCGTACTTCTGAAGTACGAAGTACGAAATACGGGATTTCGTATTTCGTACTTCGTACTTCAGAAGTACGGA